TTCATCGATTTTTAAAATAATCGTTGGTTGCAGCCCTAGTTCATGTTTTGCAATTTACTTTGGAAAAGAGCGCTTTTAATCCAAAATGACAGATTTATTCTGGTGTTTCCTTCTTTTTGGGTCCATACTTGCTGTGTTCTTGTGAGTTGAGAATCAGCCACAGTATGGATCTGCCATTGGATCAGTCTCTGTCTCTGCCCCTTTCTGCCTGCTGCAGTGAGGTCCTTCTAAGTTTATCTGACACAACTCGTTAAAACGCCTCATTTTCACATTAAAATCCCTTTTCATAACAATAAATAATAGATAAATTAGATGAAAGTGCTATCGGGTTTTGTTCTGTTAGTTTTACACGGCGATTCCGTGTTTCCAGGTAAGCTTTTGTCTGATCCTAACCTCGGGGTTCCACTCACAATATGGCGGACGCGGGTCGGTTCAAAGGAGAGATGACGCGCATTGTTTAACAGTTACGTGGTACATTTGGGCTTAAATAAGTTAATCCGTTAGTCACCTTATAAACGTACATTTGACGTGAAAGCATGCAGATGTAATATGGAAAGGACAATTTACCAGCTTCAACGATGTTGTGTTCCGTCTTACATTCTTTGTCCTCCTCTTTAACTGTTTCGGGAATCTCTTCTATTGCTGCACCATGCCACAGTTGGAGCCGCTGCGTCCACATGTTTGCTCTTAGCTTATCTTTCAATGTTCGTTTAACATTTACTAAGCAGTTCGCGCTCAGTTTTCACCCAAACTCTTAAAAAAAGGAGGTAAATGATTGCTCTTCTTTACTAAAAAGAGAGAAACTCATCTAAAGGCCTTCTGTCTGTTTCTTCTTCTTATACTACTACTTCTTCTGTGGGGGTTTTTATTGGCGGTCGGCAAACAACTTTAAAGGTGCATTACCGCCACCCACTGGAAAGGAGTTTGAACCGAATGTTGACCTAAAAAAACTAACAATAATAAAATAAATCACTTAAAAAACAATAACAAAAAGAGGCCTTCTTCTTTTTTTGTATTTTAATGCTGGTTGGCATTAAAAGACCAACCTGTTATGAGTGTAAATCAACAAGACAGGCTCAGAAAAACAGATGAATAAAGATATAAACTTCCTATATTGTTTTAAGTAATTCAGTTAACTTTGAATAATATTTATATAACAAAACATAAAACAAATCTTTTAAAATATTTCAAAGTTATTTGCCATATATATATATTTTTTTTTTAATTAAATCTGTTCTTTCTCTCTGATATTTCCTATCACGTCTGCCCAAAGTTTGTCCTAAAGGGCTGCTGTCCTGCAGGTTTTAGAGGTTTCCCTGATTCAGCACAGCTGATTTTCATTTATTGCTGATTAACAGACCTTTGCTGAACGGCAATCATCAGAATCAGCTGTGCTAAAGCAGGGGAAACCTCTAAAACCTGCAGGAGAGCGGCCCTCGAGGACCGATTTTAGGCATTTGGGCTTGTCTAGAAGCCGTCTTTTGTGATTGGTTGGGGTTGTTCATTGATTTCTCACTGTAGAGGGGACCATTAGTTTCACTTCCAGACCTTCTATTTTACTGCTTGCTAAGTGGCTGTTGGGAGATGCGTCAGAAAAGATCTCCTACTGCACCTTTAAGTCACACAACTAGATTGGTTGTTTTTCCATCCTATCTACTTTTAGAATCTATCCAAAATCCCACATCTTGACTGAATACTGAGGCTGTTTAAATGCCTGCTGAAGTTCTTGTGCTTTTTGCACTTCCCGAAGTTGTCACGAGAGGTATCAGGGTAGCGAGACTTCAGACATCATAAATTTTGCCCCTTCCCTAAATAAATAACTTCTCGCGGCTTTTGTGGAAACGCCCCCTCCATTACTGGACACAGGCCTCGAAGCCTGGTTAATTTCTACCAACGTGATAAATGCAGTCCATAAGTGTGAAATATTAGCATCACCCTTAACTGACCACTGTGGCATTTCAATTTCCTTTCAATTTGACAGGACAAAGCCATTCCCTCCTCTTTATGGAAGTTCAATAACAGCCTTTTAGACAATGAGGAATTTTGCAACGAAACAAAAAAATTACTGCATGAAATTAATCAATTAGAAATGTCTCTTTTGAATAAATGGGATTGGTTTAAATTCAAAATTGAAGATATAGTCATTCTTAGGAGTAAACATAAAAAACAACATGACATTCTAAAGGATATGAACAGACTGGGTAAAACAGATTATCTTTAGATGAACAAGCTGAATTTAATAGTCTTTAAACTGAGTTGGAAAATCTTTATTTAGAGAAAGTAAAAGGAGCATTTATATGCTCTAAAGCCTCGAAGAAGGTGAAAAAAACACTTTCTATTTCTTTAATCTAGAAAAACAAAGACAAACAAAAAGGAAAATTAATAAGTTACTTATTGATAATATATGTATTGAGAACCAAGATGAAGTTAAAGAGGAAATAAGAAACTTTTACAAAAAACTATACTTCCAAAGTTTCAGTAGACCATTGTCAAATGTTTTTTGAAAAAACTGGGAAATGTAGGGAAACAAATCAATGGGGATTTTAAGCAACTTACAGATGACAACCTCAAAATTCAGAGCTAGTTTTAGCAATTGCAAAAATGTCAAAATGAAAATCCTGGAATGGATGGTTCAACAGTAGAGTTTTATATCCATTTCTGGAATGATATCAGACTGCTGCTTTATAATGCCCTGCTGGAATGTATTTCATCTGGTCAATGAAAAGAGGTGTTATTACCCCAATTCCAAAGCCCAATAAAGATAAATTGCTGTTAGATAATTGGGAGGCCAATAACAATACTATGTAGTGACTATACATTTCTAGCTCAGATCTACTCTAATAGATTGGATATGGGATTATTAAAACTAGTTGATATGTGTCGATCAGCCTTTGCGAAGGTAGAGTTATACATAACCACACTAGACTAATTATTGACCTATTAGATTATAGAGGCTTTATAACTACAAATAGCTCCATATTGATCTTAGACTTTTCAATGCCAATGCCTTTGACACACTTGAACATCGCTTTTTGCTAGAAACTTTACACTTCCTTGGTTTTGGAAGCAAATTTTGTGGCACAGTTAAAATGCTCTACACTGACATCAGTAGCATGGTCTCTCTGAACCCGGGAATAACTCCTGGATTTGAGATTTTATGCTGAATCAGACAGGGTTGTCCCATTTCCCCAAAGCTTTTTATTTTTGCGACACAACTCCTAGCTTTATCAATTAAAAGCTCCAATGACATACATGGAATCACAATTTTTGATAGAGAATTTAGAATAAGCCAGTTTGCAGATGATACCTGCATCGTTTTAAAAGATAAAGCCCTCAGAACTATTTCCATCTTCTCTGAAGCGTCTGGTTTATCTCTTAACAAAAAAAAATGTGAACTACTCCCTATTGATAGTCCCGATCCCTCTGTTACCTCAATTAAAGTTGTAACTGAAGTAAAATTTAAAAAACTTAATTAGAAGAGAAGATACAAATATTTCAAATCGTGTTTTAGACATTAAAAAAGCCCTCAGTCACTGTTTAACAAGAGACCTTACTATATTTAGTGGAACTATTCTATCATAAACCGAAGGTATCTCCAAACTGATTTATCCCTGCCACTCCTTGTTCATTTGCTCTAAAAACACGAGTAAAGCAAATACAATAATCTTCCAATTTTTATGGAGGAATAAAACGCATTATATCAAAAAATCTCAGTTGGTGAAAGAATATGATAAAGGTGGTATTAAAGCTACAGATATTGAATCAATGGTAATCTTCCGAATTAACTGGACCAAATCTTATATGTTGCACCGAATTGTATGAGGTATCACATTCCAAGATCCTTGTTTAATAAATTAGGAGGTTTAGACTTTATCCTGAAATGCGATTTTGAGGTAAGCAGGATTCCAATTAAGCTGTCCAACTTCCACAAGCAGATTTTGCATTTTTGGAAAAAGAGTTTTCACCCACAGTTTTTCTACCCATAACTCAA